ACGATGGTGGCAATGTGATTACCACATATATTCGACTGATATATACTAATATATCTATTAAAACCTTTAATTCTACATTAAAAATACAGACATAAAGATGAATGTCATGTACCAAAGGCCATTTTCTACTCATCAGAACCCTGTGCCATCTTAGTCAAGTAGCATAGTCATGTAATATTAACTGTCATTTTTAAAAAATAACTATTACTGATAAAAGCATAGCTACAAATTAACAAGTTGCACTGATGTAGTGATTTTTGATATTACAGTATAGGTCACTGCTTGCATATGTACTGTGACATCAATGCATCTCTTTAGAGTTGCACTGGAGGTGCATTCAGCTTGCTCCTCACTTTCTAACAATAGGTGTCATTGCTCAAAAAAACAACAAAAAATTACCACTTGACTGCTGGGCAGAAATAAAAGTTGAAAAAGGAAACAAACTAACAAAAAAATATCAAAACTTCTAATTTTCTCCAAAGTTTGCACCACTATGATTAAAAAATGAATTAAAAAATTATTCCACTGCCTATTTTTTCTTACTTAAGAATATTTTACATGTTTTGCCTTACTAAAAACTGAATGGTCTTGTTCAAGACAGAGGAATGGGAACACTAACAAACCACTGTTTAATGCAGTGTTTCATTCAGCAGTGGAATATTTCCCTGGAGCACCTGCTTTGTAAAAGTTTCTTCCATCTCCCAAAATATCTCTTGTTCAAAGGTTGATCTACCACATTCCCCACTGTACTAATGTTAACATAAAGCACCTTACATAAGGCCTATATAAGCTACCTGAAGTGTCTGTCAGTAGTGTTAGCTTTGAAAATTTCTGACCATAAAAGGAACTCCATGGTAGTTTTAAAAAAGGTGATAAAAATAGCATGTAGGGTGTAACATGATGTTTTGGAAGCAATACCACACCTCTAATCTTCTCAATGAATTACTGCTCTTGGATAGGTCAAGCAAAAGGACAGAGGGCCTGTTCAAATAGACACAATATGAAAAGAGAGTATCCATCCATTGCACTTCTTGAGGACAACTTGCCTGAAAACATACACAAACAAGAAAAATAAACAAGAAGCACTCAGTGAGTGCAAACCTCCACCAAGGCTGCTCACAGCAGCTTTTACTTTTGTTTTATTTTTTAATATGTATCTTTAAAAGTTTGTAGTGCAGTAAAATAGCACGTTTTGGGGTCAACTTCAAAGAAAGGCAGATGTCAGATATTTGGTCAAAGTTGACATGATACTTATAATGTGATATTTAAAGTCGCCATATATCTGTATCATTTCCTAAATGTTACCAATACAAACAAAGGCATTTTAAGCATAGTTCTAAATGTAATATATTTTATGAAAGGTTTAACTTATTTGACCTTGAAGGAGGGGTCAGAGGTCAAATGTGACATGATATTTGAAATCCTTAATTATTTATTTATATCTTTATGGTACTTTCTATATGTTGACAATACACACCACAGTTGTAAGAATCATAGCTTGTAAGTTTTAGGGCTCTTTGTTAATTTTTGACCAATAAAAGATTTAGCTGACCTTAAAGACCTTGGGTGATGCAAGGCCAGTTTTAATGAATTGCTATAATGAACACACTGTAGAACCATACAAAGTTTTACCCAAACTCATCCAAAACTTTTAGAGCGATTCTGTTTACAGACAGAACGATGATTTGCATGCACGCATTACTAAAAACATGTTGGTGGAGGTAAAATAACCACAAAGATGATGACTAGAGCCTAAAACTACATATAAAATAAATTTTAAAGGTGCTAAACAAGAATTAGCATTTTCTTTGAGGTTGACAGTGATAATTTGTGACATGGATAGACACAATATGTTAAGGTTGCTAACTGCAACCCTATTTTCATTTGTGTAAACCAGCCAAGTAAATATCCAAAAAGTAAATATGCATGGTGCCCCTAAAGGTGTGCCAATAATCCCCTTAGAAATAGTCTCAAAGCTTGACTTGGAGACACTTCAGGTAATCAGGCATTTGTTACACCAGGTGGATATCTTTTTTTGAAGAAAAGGTAAGGGAATATGGTGAAAAAATAAAACAGTCACCACACTACAAAGTAGTGCACAGACAAAATCCTGAAGAAAGGCACCAATCTGTCTAAAGATCCCAAAGAAATGTAAAGCAACTAATAATCCCAGGTCATGGAAGGTAATAAGAGATATTTCTAACACCAGAATGATCACAAGGAGCCAAAAAAAAAAAAAGACAATGGAGAATGCAATGCAACAGATTTCCATTTGAAAGCTTGACACTGTGAGTCTTTAAAACAAGGAAGTCAAAATAGCCAATTTTGAAATCGAACTATTTTGAAATGGCTATTTAGTACCAGATATATCTTTAAAAAGATATAAAATATATAAAATATGATTTGTCCTTCTTAAAATCTACTCTGACACGCTGCTTGCTGGAATTAACAATTAAAATAGAATTAGCGCTGTGCCATATCATACCGTTCACAGTAATTACCGGCATAATGTTGGGCAACGATAAGAAAATGAAATATCGTGATAGAATGTGGGTAAAACGCACATGCACAATGCCTTTGTTTTCATACGCACATGGCAGAAAAAGCATGTCGGCGACGCAGAATGAGAAGGGCGAAAGCAGATCGTTGAATGAAACAGATGAACCAGAACTGGTTTGTAAAAATGCTGCAACTTCAGTGGTGTGGAACTGGTTTAGCTTTCGTCCGTCAGATACACAACAAAGCACTATTTTGCCAGCGGGCCGTCATTATTACCGTGTCGTTTGGAAAATACGGCACACTTAAAATCAATCCTTTGATTTTTCTGAAAATTGACAGTGTTATAAAAGTTATAATCCCGTGTGCCTCATGTATGAACTCTGGTTGTGTTTACTGACCTTGAAACGATTTTATGTACACGGCGCTCGAAAATCTGTCAAATGTTTCAGTACGACTTTGCTAAGCTTCAACATAATATTACCGTGTTGTGTGTATAACCCCTTTTTAAGATTTGTGGATATTATACATGGTTATGCTGAGGATATGTCGGCCAATTTCCACTGGAAATGCCTTTTGGTTAAACTGTCAGCGAGGAATTTGCATTTGCACTGTTAAATTTTTATATAACTTTAATGCACTTAGAAAACAGCTGCTTGTTTAAGTGGTTTTTTTGCACTAATAAAGTTGTGGAGTTGTAAAGTATTTTGTCTAGTGTCAATTATATCGTCAGTTATATCGTTATCGCAAATTTTCAAATGTATATCGTGATAAATATTTTTGGTCATATCGCCCTGCTCTAAATAGAATCACACTTTGCTGTTTTATAACCTTAACTTGTTTTGTCATCTACAGTTAGAGACAAAGCAGAACTGAAAATGTTTTAAATATTTTAAGGAATATAGCAAACAACAAGGTAAGTTTACAATGTGTTTGTACTTGATAGTAAAGCTTATTATTTATTTAATATCTCACTATACTGTAAGTGTATTCTTCCTCCAAATCGCTTCACTGCACTTTCCTGTTTGGTGCATTTGTCATTTTTTAATTTTGACTTTATTCTCTGGAGGCTGTGTACTGTAGTTTAATGTTTGCACAGAGTGTCACTAAGAAATGTTCACTTTGTCTTTCTTTGTGCCACTGAATTATTCATGAAATTTTTCCTGCCTTATCAGATTGTATTTTCTCTCTGACAGTAAATATGTATGTAAAAATGTACTAAATGGTTTTCTAATTACCATGAAACACACTTTTTATTGCACTAAGTTTATATCATAAGAAGGCATTCTGCAGCATCAGTTCAATGTATGTCTATTTTAACTACACATAAAACCAGAAGGCAAGAGCAAAAAAAAGTCAGAAAGCAGCAAGTTTTACATGCTGATAAATCTATCATTAAACACTACGCCACTTTATGTGGGAGTTTTGCTCTCTCTTCTTTTTTGAAATCTCTGTGATCTAGTAACTGACACTAGAAAGATTCAAATCACTCAACCCAATAGCTCAAGTTCTAAAGTCTAACTACCATAGGATTTTTAAAAAGAATTAAAAAATCCAATATTCCAATATATCATCTGATATTTCTTCTTTGTCAGACACGCACAGCCAATATATTTGCCAGAATCTATCACACACACAAAATGTCCAGTTATAATAAAAAATGCAACCAGCTAAAATAATTTACACATATTATATATGACCTGTCTACAAGATATCAATCATGTCTTGTAATGAAACACATGAACTCTTTGAGGTGCTGCTTTTTTGTAACCTCACTTTAAATGACATCAAATCAAAATCTTCCTGCCCTGAGCTCTTAATGCGCTGCATTCAAACAACCACTATCGTACAGATCAAACATCCATTTTGTCACGGTCCGGGGCAGCGGCCGTGTGGAGAGTGGAAGGAGGACTCAAAACGCAGAACTTATTCAGGTGTGAGGGTGATTTATTGATAATATCAAATATAAAGTGGGGATGGTAAAACAGAACTAAGGATGAACTAACTGGGAGAAACTACACAAAGAAATAGCAAACCTGAGCATGAAGGGAGAACAGCAGGGAGAGCAGCAGGGAGAGCACGCAGGGGATTACACCAGGTATGAACACAGACGACGCGACGAGGAGCAGAGGAAAACACACACTATAAGTACACAGAGAGACACTGGGAAATCACACACAGGTGGGAGACACAGCTGGACCTGATTAACCTGACGAGACAGGGGAACACTAACACCAGGGACCAATAGAGGGAGCACAAACCCAAAACCCAGTATCTAAAATCCCAAAACACAAACCATCCCAAAACAGCCCAAGAATAATAAAGAGAATAATAACAATAAGGAACACAAACACAAAGTCACTGAGTCATGGCCGCAGGACCATGACACATTTAGCCAGTAAATCGTATCACCTCAGTTTGCATTCTTTGAAAATAGATTTTGCACACCAAGTACAGAAACATTAGCATGTTGCGAGCATGTGTGTTAGTGTGTGTGTGCTGACCATTGAGTCCTCGTCAGCGATGAAGACGGTACAAGCCTGGGCCTGCATGAAGGACAGGATGGTTCCTGCAATCTTTCTCAGTAAAACCTCCAGACACTGCTGCTCCTCAAAGATCAGACTGGCCAGGTCCAGCAACACCTACAAACACATACACACACATAAACATCATTTATGGATCTGAGCGTGACTGTATGTTCACGCTAACCTTCAGAAAAACACATTCGCACACACCTGATTGCGTCTGTTTTCCAGCTGCGACGTCTCGTACAGCTGTGCGTTGTGTAGTACGATGCCTGAAAACGCCAAATAAGCTGAGAAGTCCTGTTGGAAAGAAATAGAGCAACATCTGAGTACCAGAAAGAGAGGAAAAATAAAGGGAAAAATGTACGCAAAAAGATAAATTAGCAAATTAGAGAGCAACGAGAGGATGACATGAGCAGGGAAATATGGAGAAAGAAGGATTTTATTAAAGGATGGCTTCTTAATCTGATTCGCAGTTATATTTTAACAGATATAAGTCATATTGTCCAACACAAGTACAAAGTAACACACTTTGATGATGTCTTGGTGAAAATTCAAATGTTTTTAAATTGAGAAAGTGTTATTTTAGGTGGAACCATGATGTAACCTTTTCATCCTGCTCAGTGAAGGCTCCACTGTCCCCGCATTTCTTGTTTATAGCCTGAGCCACTCCAACTACCTGCGATAAATCAAATGAAAACGTTAAGTGAAAACCAGCAAATCTTAGCAAAATAACATATTAAACTAGTATTGCAATAAGAAGGGAAACATCATCAGTCTGAATGTGCACTGATGTGAGCATACTTCATTCATATTACATTTAAATTATCTGCTAATTAATGTTATTAAAAGTTATACTAATAGGAAAACTGAAAGTTTGGTTTGGATAAGACATATCAAGGTTCTTTTTAAATGGAGAATGGGGGCACAAATCTATGTAATGTTTTAATGGCTGCAGAGGCTCACACAACTGCAAATCACGAGTCATGTCATAATGCATGAATTATCTTTAGCTTCTCTCAAAGATGCATGCTCAATCATCGTCCAGATGCATGCCCAGTAAGGGGCTTCTCTAAAAGAATTAAAAAGAATTAAAAAGAATAAAAGAATGTGCCTTTTAAAAGAATAAGTACAGTAAACTCTGCCAAACTGCTAAGCTGTGTGTGGAGAGTCTTATTGCTAGTACGCTGGAGAGAAAAAAGAAAAGGTTGTCAAAAAAGAAACGCTTTCTCAAGCAGATAATTCGAGATCTCAGATTTGATTGCTGTAATAGCCAGTACACACTGGACAAGAAGCCCCACTAGAATTTAAACATCTTATCTATGTAAAGGTAAAGTAAGGTTTAAAACAAACCATAACAAATTATATTGGTCATGGCATCTCACCTCGTCTCTGTGGTTCTTGATAGGCAGACAAAGGATACTTTGGGTTTTGTAACCTGTGAAGTGGTCGACCTCAGCGTTAAACCTGGGGTCCTGGGGGAACAAGAACATGCATATAACCCTTTTCAAAGAGCTGCTATCAAACATTTTGATACTTACATTAGCTTTCAATAGACACTCTTGTGGTTTTTTGCGCTGTAGCTTTTGAATGAAAATGCAAAAGCAATATTGTGATCCTAACCCTGTGAGCCAAAAGGTTTATGCTTCAAATATCTCTGAATGCTCAGCTTTTTGTGTTTTTGTAGTGTATCAAAGTACAAGCTGTTCAACAAGCAGGCGTGAGGCACTCCCATCTGTTGAACAACCAGTTCAATGACCTGTACTCACCACAATTGGGTGTCCAATTTGCATAAAGAAGCAGATACTCTGTAGTAGCTGAACACCTGCAGCTACAATCATTATGCAAACAAATGCCTCGCTCTTCTCCAAAACAAACACCTCACGTGCATTAGAACACTTATTGTTTGGGATCAGTGACAAAGAGGCTAACAAGAGCATACTAGGACCGCGGATGGAGACATGTTTTGTTTAGAGAACTATTCCCCTGTTTGCAGCTCTGCCACCCACCAGCTGACCTTTAAACACTCGGCTTCTGTGTCCATTTCTATGATTCTCTAGACCCAAGAGATTTGTGGGTTTGTGTGTTGACAAAAACATGCATACAAGAGGAGTCCTACACTGACTTCTCAGTTACACTCTTAACACAGCAAGTAATGGATTATATGACTGGCTCAGCCCTCAGTGGTGTACACACCGCCGTGTGTTGATACTATGAAAACAATACAGGCACACAGTGCATCATGCAAACAATGTACAATCTGTAGTAGCTTCATGTCCAGTGCTGCAATACAAAGTATAATAGGGAGCGCCAGAGCACTTTGGTCTCAGACTGCATTCTCTAAAGGTAGAATGGGAGGCAGAGCTGTCAGATATCAGGACCCTCCCAGTTTGGGTTCTGGAGACAAACACCTCTATTTTTAGGATTTCTTTTACCCTTCTTCTACCCTCGCCTCTTTTTGCTACCCATGTGTTTTATATACAACTACTGCATGCCCTCAACTTTTACCTTTTCTCTCCCATAGTTTGTGTTTAGTCCTTATCTCTGTATACGCTCCTTTTTTCTCATCTCTCTTCACTTCACCGCTGCTCCTCCCTTCAACTGATTTTACCAGGGATCTCTTTGTGTAAAGAGGGGGATACTAATAAGGAAGAATTCATTAAATTGCTGCTGCTTTCTCTATAACATTGTAGGCTTTACCTTACAATACAAAGCACCTAGAGGTGACTGTTGTGAATTAGTGCTATATAAATAAAACAATAAATAAAAGTTTAAAAAAAAAATTGAATTAAATAGTATTACAGGTTGTATTGCTTTTTGTCAGCATGTGTTCGAGCTGTTCAGTCGTTTTTTTTGAAAGAATTATCACCTCAAAACTCAATCTGTTGCTTTAATTTTCTCAGAAATCCTTAATTTCAGTATAAATTATATGACTCATTTTCTACACAGTGAAAGGCCATTCAGTGAGACACAGCACTTTGGCAAACATTTGGTTCCATTCCTGAAAAGGTGCTCCCAGTTTAATTCAGCAATCCAGCACGCAGCACTAATAAGCTGATCACCGTCCACACACACACACAAGCTCCTTTGTAAATTGGTTTGGTCCAGGCTATTTCGAAAACACATTATTTAGTCCACTCCAGAGAGAGCTGTATTAATATAAACGGGCAGAGGTGGAGCTGTTTTGGCCTGCGCTGCTGAAGTCAATGTAATCCTGTGCAGACTAATGCGAAGTTAAAGATCCAATCAGAGGGTTGGGGACTCCGTCAGATGATGTCGATAGACTTCCTGGAAGCAGTACGAGGTTCTGCAGCAGCACACAGGCATGTGTGTTCACACACACACACACAGCTTGCCACATCTACACTGACTGTCAGACTAACACACTGCATTTACCAACACAGCTGCAGTTGTGGCAGGGAGGCGATGCATACACAAACATTACGCATTATTATATTTGAACACAAATAAGAGGAACTATAAAGCAAATAAGGTCAGCCATAGAAGCACAAATTAAATCTGACCTGGAAAACAAATCTCATATGTGCACTTTGTTTTTTACATTTCATGACACAAATCCATGCAGGCATTAATTATACACAATTATAATTTCTTCTGGGATTAATAAAGAACTCTGATTCTGATTCACACACAGACACACTCAAAAACACTTGAACCCCCAAGTGCACACTTAGCAGGTACACACACACACACACACGCACACACACACACACACACACACACAAAGTCACACACCAAGTCACACACCAAATGAAAAAGCATCCACACACAGACACACACACACACACACGTGCCCCGATCACAACAATTGCATACCACACACACACACACACACACACACGCACATGCACATCCCATAAGTCATTCTTGATCTGTTCCTCTCTCTCTTTCTCTTCCAGCTCCATAATCATCATCTTGTGGTTGGCAGGCAACCAGATGACAGTGTTATCAAAGGAGGATGGTACCCAGCAGGAAATCTTTTTTGCACACACAGAATCACACCACACCGGTCCATCTTATTTGCTGCTGTGCATGTTTTGATTTACAGTGTCATGCAAAAAGTCTTGAGCTTCCCTTCATTTCTTTATTTTGCTTCAAGCCTACCAGACCATTTTGTAATTTTTAAAGTGGTCTTTGGCAGTAGTATTCCAGGCTTTTGGAAGGTCTTTCAAAGGGTTTATTTGGGCATTGGTGGATTTTTTTTTATTCTAGTCCTTGTACCGGACTATTTTCAGAGGAATGGTTCTATATTTATTGAGACACTTAACAGAGATTATTAATTAAGCCTGTCACAAAAACACATAACACAGTTATTCCAATTTCTTTAGCTGAATCTTTGAAAAATTACAAAGATAAAACAGTCTGACAGGCATGAAACTGCATTTTTACCCCAACAACATTATTATCAAAGAACTATTAGCTGAAAACTTGGCATATCTTATCATGGTGTGTGGCGTATAGTATTTACAGCAGATTGACAGAATCAAAAAATACAGAGAAACAACAACAGGGAGATGCATTTGGCCCTTCAGATGCATCTACTCATAGCTAAATTTCAGCGAGTGGTGTTGGGCATCTTGTCAAAATTGATCAAATTATGAATGCAATCTGGAAAGTATGTGATTAGCAACATGCTCATTTTTCAGTATGACAACGATACCAAACACACTGCCAATGCAGTACAAGCATAACAGCAGCATGCTAACAGTCAGGTACTTGCTTCCCCTGTACTCGGGATTTGTCCTGTAGAACATGGATGCTTTTGTCCTATATAGCTGTAATCAGGCCTCTAATTTGCCTTTTATCTGTGCACAGGTGCAAAAAAGAAGAGCAGCTTATGCATGACAGTAGAAACAGGCATCTAATTATTCATGTGCCAAAACACATTAAGGTTCTATTGGCAAGAATTCAACAATCCAGCACCTCCACATGGCATTCATGTTTTCTGGTTTACACAGCATCTACACAGCATTTATACAAAATGAGCTTTTGTTTAAAAGAAATGTTATTTATATTTTTATAAATATGCTCTATATAACGTTGTTATATTTTAACAACATGGTGCCTAATTTATGTTTGTAAATATACTTAGCAAAACAATTTTTAATGCAGTGGCAGTTTGGGGTCACTGTGCAGAAATGTCATTCATATCTGTAAATAAATGCTCATTAAACACTGATGCTATTAGTACCTGTCGCTTTGTGTTACATTACATAAAGCTTGCAAAAAAATAAGAAGACTAATTATACAGTACGGGAAAAAAATATTTGAGCTGCCAGCTGATTTTGTAAGTTTTCCCACTAACAAAGAAATGATCGGTCTATAATTTCAATGGTAGGTTTATTTGAACAGTGATAAATTAGGTTACAAATTAATTTGCATTTTGATGAATGAAACAAGTATTTGATCTCCTATTAGTGAGCAAGATTTCTGGATCCTAGGTGTATTTTATACAGGTAACAAGCTGACACTGGGAGCCTTCTCAACTAGTTACTAGACATGGCACGATACCACTTTTTTATGTCCGATACCGATATCATAAATTTGGATATCTGCCGATACCGATATGAATCCGATATAGTGTTTTTAATCAACAAAACTGTTTTTTAAATATCTTGCTGCATTTTGTATAAGTTCATACTCAAGTTTAAAACAACAACTACACTAAAGCTATTCTGTTATACCTGTATGCAAAAAAAAAAAATTTCATAGTTCAGCAATACTGATCAATCTAATAAACTTAAACCTACACCATCCTCCCTATTCTGGTATTTTAAAGAGTACTTAGCTAAATATTAAGCAACCTAACTAATAGGGTTCCAACTCCCAGCAACAACAAAAATAAATAAATAAAAAATAGGGAACCACCCCTCACGCTCCACCTCATGATGCTTAATCGACGTAATCAACCTTAATTTGATGCAGTGTGAAAAAAAATGCACAGAAATCAATTATTTTTCAAGAAATATTAAATAGATTCAACATCTTTCTTCAACAAAATTGCAGACTGCACAGATGGTACCTTCCCAAAGGAAAAAGTACTATAGCTTACTAGGGTATATTAGACTTAATAGTACTATATACAGTAATTGACTTCTATTCATTTTACATCAAATTAAAACTTTGGGTGTCAGATAATTATTTATTAAAAGCTAGACATTTTAAATGAGAATAAGAAAGAAAAGTATGTCTTTGTGCCCCCTTTTCCCTGTTAATGCCCTATCGGCCCCCCTGGCTAAACTTTGCTAGATCCGCCCCTGCACAGTTACCAGCCGTCAGCTACGTAGAAAAAGATCCTCGAGTAGAAAGTAATATTAAATAAATTCTAACAACAGCTATCAAGCTTAAACGTGCTGCTGTTGTTCAGCCGCTGGTTTCCTCTTTCTGGTGCAAAGTGGGCCAAAAGCAAACAAGAGACACGGACTCGCGACAGAAAAGCCGATCAGCTGATCGTTAAGCAGTTTCATGATTGAAGTAGCAGCAAGAAGAGGCAGTCGCTTGTTAAGCTTAACGCAGGAATGCTTTACAAACATTCAGAGATGGACTTACACACTTGCTTTACTTCTCTCGGGGATAACTTTGTCGGAGATGAAATGCCGGGTTGCTAGCGAAGCTCCAAATGCTATCCAGACCACCGACAGGTCCCGCATGCCACAGCCGCTCTATCACGTGATGCATACTGCTCCGACGTGCTAACGTTCTGAGGTGAGTTACGGCGTGTTGCAAGTTTTGTGAGGTGCTTTCGTGATATTTAATGGATCGGATTACATTTTTTATTTTTCTCCGATATCCGATCCAGTAATTTAGGTCAGTATCGGACCGATACCGATACGTAATATCGGATCGGTCCATCTCTACTAGTTACCTGTATAAAAGACCGCTGTTCACCATGCCCAAGACCAAAGAGCTTTCTAAGGATGTCAGGGACAAGATTGTGGACCTACATAAGGCTGGAATGAGCTACAAGACCATTGCCAAGCAGCTGGGTGAGAAGGTGGCATCAGCTGGTGCGAACATTCGCAAATTGAAGAACCATAAAATAACTCCCTCAATCCGGAGCTCCACGCAAGATCTCACCCCGTGGAGTTTCAATGACAATGAGAACAGTGTGGAACCAGCCCAGAACGCTAGTTACCAAGAAAACAGTTGGTAACACACTATACTGTGAAGGACTGAAATCCTGCAGTGCCCACAAGGTCCCCCTGCTCAAGAAAGCCCATGTACAGGCCTGTTTGAGATTTCCCACTGAACATCTCAATGATTCAGAGGAGGACTGGGTGAAAGTGTTGTGGTCAGATGAGACCGCAATCAAGCTATTTGGCATCAACTCAACTCATGTTTGGAGGAGAAGAAGGAAAACTGCCTATGAGTCCAAGAACACTGTCCCCACCGTCAAACATGGAGGTGGAAACATTATGCTGTGGGAGTGTTTTTCTGCCAACGGGACAGGACAACTGCACCACATCACAGAGAGGATGAATGGGGCCACGTACCGTCAAATCTTGGGTGAGAACATCCTTCCCTCGACCGGGGCATCGAAAATGGGTATGGGTGGGTATTCCAACATGACAATGATCCAAAACAAACGGCCAAAGAAACAAAGGATTGGCTCAAGAAGAAGCATATTAAGGTCTTGGAGGGGCCTAGTCAGTCTCCAGACCTTAATCCCACAGCTGAAGGTTCAAGCTGCCAAACATCAGCCACAAAACAATAATGACAAGGATAGGATCTGCAAAGAAGAATGCCACAAAATCCTCCCTGAGATGTGTGCAAAATTTGTGGCCAACTACAAGACACGTTTGACCTTCGGTTTTGCGACCAAGCACTTTTTTCAAAGGGATCAAATACTTATTTCCTGCATGAAAATGCAAATTATTAACTTTTTTCTGGATTTTTTGGTTATTGTTCTGTCTCTCGCTGTTCAGACAAACCTACCATTGAAATTATAGACTGATCATTTCTTTGTTAGTGGCCAAACTTACAAAATCAGCAGGGGTTTAAATAATTTTCTGACTGTATGTATTTCTTTTTTATTTGTTTGGTTGTTGTCAGCAGCTGTTTTGCCATGTCGCTATACAGAGTGATATGAAAAAACACAACCAATGTATGTTTTATTACATGACCAAAGCCAACAGGCACTGCAAGCCTCCCAAAAATTAAATCGCTAGTTTGTATTACGTCCATACGTCCACATGTGTGGTAAAAGCTGAAACTCGAGAGGAGCACTTTGACCTATTCACCCTCTTTGGTTCCTCTCATATCCACTGAGCTCTATCAGCAAGAATGATCAAACTAAACTAAAGCATACGTAAGTCTGTTTTTGAACACCCACATACACACGGCAAATCAGCTCATGTAAGATACTTTAACTGATGCTGCTAAAGATCTCTGTTTTTAAAGAAGACTTAAAAGTGCTCACCTCGTAAGCATTCTTGATATTGAGTGGTTGTCCCGTAGAAGCTACGTGTCCCACAATCCCTTTGTTCCACTCCAGTCGGATAGAGTTACTGGAAGATTCTTCCAGTGTCGTTCCTTCTGCCACATCAAACAGCCGGCTGACCAAGAACTTCCTGTTTGAGCTATCCTCACCCACCTGAGACCAAAAACAAAAAGTAGCAACACAACTGAAATAAAACTAATGACTGAAATAGAAGTTATAAGCCAATACTGTACGTATGACAAAAACACAAATAATTGTGTTTTTTTTGCATGTTCCAGTTTTGGTGACTGTTAGCATCTTATATTTAGAGTTTAACTTTTTATTCCAAAAGACTAAATCATAAAAAAATGATATAGAGGAATTTTTAGCATTTACAACATAGCATTTATAGCAAAGTAATATTGCTACACTCTTTTTTTATCACAGTGTTAAGAGAGCATCACAATAACTGTGAAATATGAAATAAACCACAGCCTGCTTTTGTTTTTACCAGATGACCGTGCGCTATAGTCACTTCCTTTCTTTCCAAGATGAGACAAGAACAACAACTGCGTGCAGAGCTAGAGCCAGAGGGTAATTAACTTAGCTAAGCATGCTAATCACTTCTAGCTTGCAACACAAGCACCTGATACTTGTATTAAAGCTCCATCCAACTCTGAAAAACACTGCTCAGAATCAAATTTTAAAATGTGTAACTACTGCTTTAAGCTTACCGCTAATAATAAACTTATGAAATGAAATAACATTCATGCATACATGTAACTTTTTGTTAGGGAGCACAGTGACAGGCTTAGTGACAGGAGATTTACGTTGTTCTACATAAACTGTTAAATAAAACGAGGGTGGCAATGTAATACGCTTCTTGTAACGTATCAGTGAGCATATAAAGAGGCGTATCTTCTTTTTGTGCTCTGCAACAGTTAAATCAGTTACAACTGTAGCTTTCTTTCCTGACGTACCAGAAACAGTGAGTAGCGGTCTGCAGCAATCAGCTCATTGATGTGGAGGAAGATCTTATGGCAGAGCGCTGTCACATCCAGATGACTCGATACATCCTTCACCAGCTCCAGCAACCTGGCACAGCGGTCACCCTCAAGACCACCACCACCTCCATTCCCACCTCCCCCACCAATACCACCCTCACCCATCACCAAGCCCCTCACAGGGACAATTTCACGGTCAGCGTCACTCAAAAATGTCAGCGAGCCCTCTGAGTCTTTAACCACAATGGGTCTGAGTGGGCGGTCAAACTCTGACGCTGAGATTTTGCGAGTTGGGGTACCAGGGGCCGGGCTGGAGACTGTAGCTGGGGATGGACAGCGGTTGTCCAAGTGGCTGAGGGTAGGTGGGAGGATGGTGGAGGCACAGGAAGGGCCAAGGTCAGTGGTGGGCTGGTGGGCTCGCTGCTGTGAAGGACTTTCTTTGGACACAGATGGCTGAAAGGAATGGATGCGTTCAGCAAACCAGGCATTCACCATCTCCCTGTCAAAATGAAAAAGAAAATGTCCGTCAGAAGTTTTTAGAATATCTCCAAAACATTATGACCACCCACGACTAAAAGGCTGTTGGCACTTGGCATGATACCAAAACAGCTTTAGACCACATAAGCCTTGTCTGCATAAGTACACATATTGACCAGAAGAACTGTCTTACTTACCCACACACATATCTCAAACCTTAATATGCTCCATTGTTAGATCTATTGTTAGGAGGTAATCAGTCTAATTTGCTTCAACTGTGACTAGACATACTGTTTTGGCTCATAGGGTTAGATTACCTGCAGATATACTATATTATATATGAAGCCTTTTTGAGTAAATGCACAAGGCAAATTGATTGACAGGTAGACTGTGAGTAGTGCTGTGTTGCTAATCAAAGCCAAACTCCTGCACAAATTCTTGTCTGCTACTGCATCAAAACAAAAACAGACATTAATCAAGAACAGTTTGCCGAAATTTATTCTGCAATTAGAATAAAAATGGAGAACGATACGAATTCAAATCGTTTGTTAGGCATCTCATTACAGGCTGAATTTTAAATTTTTTCCATCATGAAATGAGTTCCATGCCCGTGTAGTGGAAAGAAGAAGAACATTAAAATTTAACCAGATGATCACATTATACACACTTTAATCTAATAAAAATCTCTTCTTTGTACCTAATCAAAGCTCACAAGCTTCAACTTCAAACGGACTTAGTTGAGATGAGGATCACAGAGCTTCCACACCAAAAGAACAGGATCAGCATTGACTGAACATAAATTACAGAGGTTCCATAAAACCTGTTTACATCAACTAACTGAAATCCAACTCAAATGAATGAAAACAGTGCAAAAATGACCAAAGTTACACATTTAGAAAAGAATTGTTGATTATGTACAAGCAAACATGCGTCTTCAGCTGCTCTTCATTCAATGTAATAACTCATGAAAACTATTCCTTCTTATTCCTTCTTGCATTTTAAGTCTGAAGCTGATGCTATCCTTTAGGGAGAATGGAAGTTTTGCTGACCAACATTCATGAGGGCACGTGGGACAGAAAAGAGTCAATAATTTGCTGGAGAAACAAGCTGTTGGTTCTTAATTCTACTTCTAAGGATGCAATCTAATCCTGACTCAAGAAAGCTGGACAGGGTCTCAATGACTGCTGGGAGATTTATGAAATTCTATTCTATTCTCTGCATTTACGACATCACACATCAACATCAACTCAGTATCAGCAGACACCTCGACATAAAAGTGTCAGGAGTTTACAGATGTTTAAATGCAATGATAAAACACTGAATTCCAAAGTCCTCCATGGCTCGCTCTACTTTTGCAAAACCCCATCTGAGCCTATATATCTGAGAAGACTACCCACGCTGACCTGGCAATTATTTCCAAGTACACTAACAAACAGCATACAGTAAGTTATACAACCTGCAATATTTCTTATTATAAAATTAACCACAAACTTTATGCAAAAGAAATAACTAAAAGCAGGCTGTCTCTCACTGTGGCTCAGGACACAAACAGCTGAAATTGTGTTCATATACAGCCAGACCGCCTTCAAAATGAATCTCAAATACTTGAAAGTATTCAGAGTTAGCCTTTAAATTTAATAAGAGAAAGCTTGCAAAAAGATTTAGAAATAAATGTACAAGTGGGAGTGAGAAAGAGATGAAATGTTGAGCAAGCAGAGTGCTCTTTACATGCTTAGACGATGAAATTATTATATGATATTAAATAACAGTAAACAGTGATAACAATGTAAATTGAATGTAAATGCAGCAGTAGCCAGAATACTTTTATCAAGGCTATGTGTTTATGTGTGTTTGTGTGTGAGATAGCCACTGGAAGCCTGTAATGATGACATTTACTGGAACAAATCAAATATGAGTGTGTGTATTAGACAGAGTGTATGCTAGTGTGTAAACAGAAACATTAAATTGAATGTGATTATGGAGAATCTCTCCAATCAGCCAACACATTGTCTAATCAACCCACACACATTTCGAGCATGCACTCCACTTCAGGTCCAGTTTTCAAACGCGCCGAAGGTCATGTGACTCATTCTGTTTCTATGCCTGTCACCAAAGCTCTGTTCACCTGAACGGAAGGTCAGAACCTTGAGAAGGTGATAAAAAGTGCTGGCTGTGAAATTGTCCGTGGTATCTTGGGCATATCCAAGCAAGTAAAACTTTGTAGGAGACAAAGTGCTCGTTATGTGCAGTTTCTCAGAGGTCCTCTCCTCCTCCATCTCCCATTGAGCTGCCTGACTCCCCACAGGGCTGACCCTAATGTATCCAGGGGATGTGTGGCTGAATCAATACCTCTCTAAGAAATGCCTCTCAACCAGAACTGCAGAATGGCTGATGTGTGCAAACCTCTTGCTCCAAGCCAATCAACTTTTTTGCTTTAGTAATGTGGTCAAAAAACGCAGGAGGGAGAGAAAAAAATGTCCTCTGACAATGGAAAATATTTCAAGATGGACTTGGGATGTTGTGACAGATGAAAAAACACTGAGTGACATTACCTTGGTGGTAGTGAATAAATAGGTCTGAAGGGGTTTGTCACTAAAGCAAACACAGACATAAAGTGCCCTGATGAAGTGCAGCCAAACTGATGAAATTCCCAGGTATGCATGCTGTAAAAAAGTCTTACACAGCCGCTACAGTTCCAGAAAGACTGCTTTGGATTCTGTGTTTGCCGAACAAATTGAAAGGCTAATTTGTTCCAAACCACACTCTCTGAGGTTCAAAAACTGAACGCTACAACACAAATGAAGTGCTTTCTTTTATATGGAAGGTAAGTGTAATTATCACTGAACAGCAAACTATGAGAATTAAACAGAATCACTGGCAGCAGTAAAAGTTAATGATTAAAGGGCTCAGTCTAACTCTCAGAGGTGTTGTGACGTGGACGGTGAAACGAAATAAAGTCGTAGACTGAAAGGAGCTCGCCAGCACAGCAGCTCTGTGACATCCAAAACGCTGCAGGTAGCGCACCTGAGCAGGCTCACCTCCACTGCACACGATGATTGGTGTCAAGATACGATCAGTGCAGGTTTTACAGTCTTCCTGAATAAACAGCGAGGTAAAGTGACACCTACAATGGAAACAGTCAGAACTAACAAAGGGAATCTGATTGCCTGCGCGGCTGCACATAAAATAGTTTATTTGCAGAGAAAAGCCCTGGAAAGTCACATACACCCGGTTGAACGTACACTGACCTCTCCACTGTTATTTTTTCTTATTTTTACCTTGACGCCTTTCTGACAAAGTAGGAGTGGGTGAACTCCAAGTGGTCGTCCAGCCACGCTTCCATCCTCTCGTTTTCCAGGGAACAACAGTCCTCCATGGTGGAAAAGCGACAACAGCGTCTCCCCACTGTGAGCTCCGATTACATTTATCCGCGGAAGACCCGGGACCGAATATATGTGGAGGAATAAAGAGGGAGCAAGGCGGGAGAGAAAGAGGGGGATCCGAGAGAGAGCTCCTCGCTAGCCGGTTGGTAGGTCGGTGCGCGCGGATCAGAGCTGTGACTGCGCGCTTCCTAGTTGGTCAAGCGACTCTGAGTGAACTGGAGAGAGAGAACGAGTGAGCGAGGGAGTGAGGAGAGAGGGGGTAGCAATCGAAAAACCCAAGTATGAGAGATGTTATAGTTTAGTTTCGTTTGTTTGTTTTGTTTTATGTAGAAACCACATTGTTAGGCTATAGCCTGACAAAGTTAATTCTACTAACTATTGTTGTTGTTGTTATTATTATTAGATATAATATTAATAATGCTTAAGGTTATTTTAAATTGGAGGACGGTAAACACGACAACAATTGGTCTATATATATATATAAGTCTAATGATAATTTAAGTAAAGAAATAACAAATGTAACCTACTGCTACATGGGTTTGATTTGTATTGTTGAAATATTCTGCTTTGCTTCTGGTCACTGATGTTTGCCATTAGATGTTTATATGTTTGCTTCCATGGGTCAGCCAATCAGACTAACTCTGCATCTAAAATAGCATCGTGTGGACCACTGTTCCACACACTTCTGCGTAGATAAATCGTTGTCTTTTATTAACTAGTTAGCGTATTCTTGCTACTTCCCTAGATTTTTTCAACCTGGGAACACATTACCAAACTAGCCCAACTTTATTTGAGACTACATATTATATCTGTACTGTAACAATGGGCATCAGCCTCTGGTTAGTAAGGTCCCATATTTGTGGTGTTTTGAAACTGGATGTAGAACACACTGTCTGGCTCTAAATATTCAGCTGTGTTTCAATCAAATGGGTAAAGTCTAATCTTGTTTATCCTTCTGTTTGACAGTAATATTTCCAAAATAAACTTCATATTGTATTCAATAAGACGTGTGAGCTTGTGACTGAGATCATAAAGTCATAAGGAATGTGTTTATTGAGGTCATAGATTAGGGAGGCAAAGGGCTATTTTCCCATAAACTTGCATACAACCAGCTTGTTGACACCAGATGTGGCATCCTTCACTGGCTATTAGGTTTTAAGCTTTTTTTGCATTGGCTCCACCTTTCACACTAAGAAAAGTGCACATTTATTGAACATTCTTTGTTTAAGAGAACCCAAGTAATAATTACCAAATGTTAAAACATTTGACGTCAGATCCCTGTCTGTCAGTGTTTACTGTAGACACTGCAGTGTGTGATATGTACATCAGTGCTGTGAATAAAGTACTTGTCTCAAAAGCAAAACTACTATAGGATACTAAAGTTTCAAACTAGGACTGGGCGACATATCTAATATACTCAATGTAAGACGGGTTTTGCCGCGTACCATGGTTAAAACAGCTTCATGGTAACCATCGAGTTGCCACTCTTTGTGCATCTGATGGTTCAAATAGTTAAAATAAAACATTTCTATTAATTCAGATTTTGTTGTATTAAAAGTAGAAAAAATATTGAGTAGTCGATTTGAATGAGTATACCAGTGCAATTTCAGGCACAGGTTTTTGGAGGTTATTTATACATATTCTGATATATATTGTATATTGTGTTATAGCCCCAAAAATATGTTAACATTATATTTTCCTCATATCACCCAACCATATTTCAAAAATACTAAAAAAAAATCTGTGTCATGCCATCCTAAATAGTATATAACTACTGAATTTTGCACACAGACCATGACTGTCATCACTAAAAAAAACTTGACCCCAGTCAAAAGGTAAGTATCCTTTAACAGAAAGAAGCAGTAATGTATGTCAAATATGGCTTGTCATTTGTGGTTCACTTTGTAAAAAGATGTGTTTTAATTTTTTTTCTAACTCTAACCAAGTACTTTTTCTGATTCAAACAGAAATATAAACAAACAGCAATAGGAAAATGACACCAAAGCCTAAAAATGACCCCAAAGCAAACTAGAATTCCTGTCCGCTAGTCAAAAGTCAGATCATGCTCACCACATCTACCACATTATTCTGACTAGATCTCAGTAAGACCATATTCTGAACAAAAAACAACGTTTCATTACAGTCAGAGATCTTACAGCTTGCTTCTTTCTGGTAACTCATGCTGAGGAGAAAGAAAGTTGTGCAAAGTCCAAAATTGCCTCAGGTTATGCCAGTTGAATAAAACTGGTTAGCAGTGAGGACTATTAGCAAGTAGTGATGTGTCGGTCGCGAACGAAATGGCTCTTAGAGCCGGGTCTTTGACATGAACGACGCGAGCCGGCTCCTTATCACGAGCTGTGGGGGTTTTTTCTTTTTCTTTCTCTCACCCTCTCTCTCGCACTTTTTTTCCGCTTCACTCGGCACACAAGCCTTGTGTTTTGCGCTGGGAAGAGGGGGGAGGGGTCATAGTTACACTGGCAGTAGCACAGGAGCAGAGCGGGAGGGAGAGAGAGAGAAAGAGAGCAGGGGACAACAACTTCACATTAGAAAGGTATAGTAATCATCCACAACTATTTTCAGTTGCAGATGATAAAGGATTCAGAAAGTTTATTCATGCAGGTCCATATGACAGAGAATGTGCATCTTCTTTTTGTTTTCATATTTTAATTTATATTTAATTGTGTTGTGGTTTGCAGTGTTTTGTGTTGTTTCACTTTAAATTTGTTAAAAGGAAAAAGCTGAAAATTTAAATAGTTAAAAGTTGAAATGTGAATAGTTGATTTTTGTATTATATGATTTATTTATTACATTTTATGTGGAGTGAATAAATAAAAGTATATTTACGGTGGCCCCTAGAGACAAAGCACGATACAAACTCCAAACCTGACATGACAACCAAAACAGTAAAAACTCCAAAACACGTAAAACACAAGCAGAAGTGCTCCAGGATGCTAGGCAGTGTTGAGCTTTTGTTACCTAGTGGCTACACAAGCACAAGTACCAACGACCGGATTTGGTGTGTGGTAGTAACAGGTAAATGAACTTTTTTTTAAATTATTTGAATATATATGAGTGCTTGTGTATAAATACACAAACAATACACACATGCTTTCAATTGTGTAATTTAAGTGATCTAGGTAGCTCTGTTTTGGAAGTTCAGTTCATGCTAGAAATGTGTTTTGGAGTTTGTACGTGTTTTGGATTCGTTTTTCTAGGGGCCACCGCATATATTTATATATAAACATATATAAATAAAACCACTTTTTTTTACATTAGTAATTCCTTTTGTGCATAATTTTATATTATTGTTAATAATAAATTAATTAAAGCAACAAACAACTGAAGAGCCGTTGGGAGCCGAAAGAGCCGGCTCTCTAAAAAGAGGCGGAAATCCCATCACTATTCACCAATGTTCCCTCTAAGCTGCGCGCATGCGCAATTGCGCACTGCTGGCACGGTCTCTGCGCACAGAAAATCTGCAGTTGTGCACAAAAAAAAATCTAACCTGAATTGAAAATTTAAAACTTTAACAATTCTGTTTTGCAGTGTTAGTCAGTAAGTGACTGGCTGCTCCCGTATGGGATTAGAACGATGCCACCTTATCCCATAGTCCAGCCAATAATGCGATTCACATTCGTATATACGCAGCTAATCAACGTCGTTGACAGGCTATGACAGCGTCCTTATGTGCCGACACCGGTGTTTTAGCTAGCAAAGCGGCGTGGCTGATGTGGAGTGAAGCCACGTTAATGACAACGTGTACAACCATTGGAGATGTGAGCAGGACAGACGAACAATTGACCGAAAAAGTGTGGCCTTTATACCAGTTTTTAAATTGTGTTGATAGGCCACGTAAAACCAGAGTTGTGATAAAAATATCTGCAATGTTTGTTTTTCCTGAATGTTGTTTATATTTACTGTGGTAAGAAACGGTAAAAACTGCATTTTATAAGGAAAACGCTCGAAAGCCTGTGAGCAAAAACAAAACCAAAAAACCCCACCCTTTCCTATTCGTCGAAAAAAGTACCATGTCGACCAATCAAAAAATGACATGGCAACATGACATTAGTTGTTTAGGAAAGGGGGAAGTTTTAGGAGTGACGGTGGCGTTTTGAGATGAGAGATTTGCCACGTTTAGCGCAAATCTTGTGTAGTTAGTGTGTAGTGTAGTCAATAGTTTTGTTGTGTGTGTCAGAACAATGAGGCGACTGCTGAATGTTACAGGTGTTACAGCAGTGATACATCTCCTGTTGTCAGGCCTGCAGGTATCTGGCTGTTGTTCTCCTTTATCTCATAGTGGACAGAAATTATTTTTTGGAGTGTCACAAATAATTTGTGTGGCATCAGATTTGATGCAGAACAGCTGATTGTTCTGTAAATAGTAAATAGAAGTATCAATCAAAGCTATTTCCTCTTCTTGTACAATAATCTCACTAGTGTTTAGCTTTTGACTACCTGCCTATGTTGCAGGATTCCACTATCTTATGGCTGGACACATCAAGAGCTGCATACATAATGGAGCAGAAGTTACCCTTATTTTACTGCTTCTATTTACTCTTTGACTATTTGCTTGTCCATTTAGTAGAAGGATGCATATGCCAGTGAGTAAAGAATCAGTCACACTAGTGTAAAAACAGGATTGCAATCTCGTTGTCGTGAAATTGTCATTAATGCTCTAATTTCCTCCCACTTGACTACTGCAGTTCACTTCACACCAGACTCAGTCAGTCTTCTCTTTCCCATATTCATCTTGTCCAAGATACTGGTGCCAGCTCCTCACAGGCACCCAAAAAAGACATCATATCCCACCTCTTTTAGTTTTTCCCCACTGGCTGCCAGTGAGGTTCAGAATCAATTTCAAGATCTTCCTGTTTGCCCCTTCATGGTTTGGTTCCAGGTTCCAGGTTTAAATTCATAGGAGAGTCAAATCTGTTCCCTCCACTGAGTCTACCCATAAAACTTATTTTTACTGACTGGCATTTAAGTCTGTTTGTCTCTCCTGTGCATGATTGATTGGGCATGATTGTATATGTTTAGCACACAAAAATAATCTCTATTTATTTCTTATTTTTTTGTTTTTATACGTTGTGTACGTTGTGAATTTGCAGTCAGTGGTCGTTTTTTTTCCTGCTTTTTGCAAATGGTTGCAAGTAGTTGTGGCATCCAATTGGTCATCTGGGTTGAGAGTTTCTCCACATAACTGCCATCCAACTTTGTTATCGTGAAAGGACTGCCAACTGCCAGGACACTGCAATGTTTAAAAACACAGGTGTATCATTATCACACCCACTGGTGATGATGTACATATTAAAAGAAAAGTATTGATGTATTTTACTGTATATATTCACT